CTTTTCAACACCAAGTGACGCCCTTACCCACCTGTAAAGGTCATTGGCTGAAGTCTTTGCGTTGTTGATAGCACACAGCCTAAGCAGTCCTTCAGAATGTTCTCTATTACCTGTACATGCATACTGTATGTATTAGTGACTGTAGTGGTGTTTATGGGATGTTGCGCAGGGACGGGTGAGTATGAAAAATCACAGTATACTAGAAAAAACTAGACTACACCACTGCTCCTCCTCTACTGGACATCCCCGGGGAGTTCAAATTGCAACAGTCCTGCGGTAAGAGTTCAGAAAAGGCACCGGACTCACCAACACTCAGTTATACAGAGAAAATCCAATCTCTGGGACGTGAAGAAATCCTTAAGGATAAAAGATTTGATTGCTAGCGATCTAGCGTTTACCAGGCCAATCCTGACCGGAACCGGCGGGTCTGCAGTGCTGATTGTCTGAGGAACCCGACACAGAGGCCGCAGGTTCCGCAGATTTACCCTGCGCCAGTGGGGGCGAGGAGAGCAGGGGCTGTATAGCTATAACAGGTACCAACCAGGCGTCAACAGGGTCCAGCAATCACCGAAGAATTAGGTGTCGAAGCACCACTCTGCACATAGCCCAGGAAGCATAAGAACGCACTCCGGCGGCGGTAGCGCTTAGGCCTACGGCAGAGATGTGGAGCCTGAGGGCGGCAAAGGCAAGCAGGGAAGTTTTATATCCATCATGATCAAACCTTACTAAATCTTTGGCAGAGAAAGTTCCAGTAGTGTTTGGCCATCGTACACCAATATTGCATCAACGTCTTGAACATCAATTGACACGAACTGCACGATCACAGCATTGACAGAGAGAAACGGCGAGCCACACACGCTGGCGCCATCTCAATCTCAGTCTCAAAGATGCAGCAGGCAACAGCAGGAACTGCTGAACATTGTCATTACACAACGCAAGGCTGTATTCCAAAAAGAACGTTTGTAGACCCTTCGTGCTACATACACAGAACTTATCAGATAATTAAATGTGTGCTAAAATATGATAACATATAAAATAAAACAACTGGCTATACATTTACACCCATCAGCCATAACATTATGACCACTGACAGGTGAAGTGAAAAGCACTAAATATCTGGTTACCATAGCTCCTGTCAGACAACAGGTGAACATTGTGTCATCAGAGTTGATGAAGGATCACTGATGCACATGGGGAGTGAAGGCTGGCCCCTGTGGTCTGATCCAACAGACGAGCTCCTGTAGGTCTGACTGCTGAAGAAGTTAGTAGTGCTGGTTCTGATACAAAGAGGTCAGAACACACAGTGCGTCATAGTTTGTTGCATATGGGTTTGCGTAGCCGCAGACCAGTCAGGGGCCCATGCTGACCCCTGTCCACTGCCTGACCACCCTAATAAAATTGGTGGCCACCCCAGTGGCCCTCCCTGGCAAGGGGCATGTGCATAAAAAGCTATGTACTGGATATACACTGCTCAAATAAAGGGAACACTAAAATAACACCTCCTAGATCTGAATGAATGAAATAATCTCATTAAATACTCCTTTCTTTACATAGTTGAATGTGTTGACAACAAAATCACACAAAAATTATCAATGGAAATCAAATTTATCAACCCATGGAGGTCTGGATTTGGAGTCACACTCAAAATCAAAGTGGAAAACCACACTACAGGCCGATCCAACATTGATGTAATGTCCTTAAAATAAGTCAAAATGAGGCTCAGTAGTGTGTGTGGCCTCCACGTGCCTGTATGACCTCCCTACAACGCCTGGGCTCCTGATGAGGTGGCGGATGGTCTCCTGAGGGATCTCCTCCCAGACCTGGACTAAAGCATCCGCCAACTCCTGGACAGTCTGTGGTGCAACGTGGCGTTGGTGGATGGAGCGAGACATGATGTCCCAGATGTGCTCAGTTGGATTCAGGTCTGGGGAACGGGCGGGCCGGTCCATAGCATCAATGCCTTCCTCTTGCAGGAACTGCTGACAAACTCCAGACACATGAGGTCTAGCATTGTGTTGCATTAGGAGGAACCCAGGGCCAACCGCACCAGCATATGGTCTCACAAGGGGTCTGAGGATCTCCTCTCGGTACCTAATGGCAGTCAGGCTACCTCTGGCGAGCACATGGAGGGCTGTGCGGCCCCCCAAAGAAATGCCACCCCACACCATTACTGACCCACCGCCAAACCGGTCATGCTGGAGGACGTTGCAGGCAGCAGAACGTTCTCCACGGCGTCTCCAGACTCTGTCACGTCTGTCACAAGTGCTCAGTGTGAACCTGCTTTCATCTGTGAAGAGCACAGGGCGCCAGTGGCGAATTTGCCAATCTTGGTGTTCTCTGGCGAGAATGAGAACGAGAACAAGAGCAACACAGCGTTGGCGAGCGAGAATGAGAACGAGAACAAGAGCAACACAGCGGTGGCGAGCGGTCTGGGACTGAACAGGGTCTGATCAACAGATTCTACTAACGTTGAGTAGCCCAACTTTAGCTGTCAATCTGCTTGTGTGCTACAAGTGTGGGCTGACAAGTCTAAAAGATGCCTCCAAAAAAAGATGCAAAACAGGAAGACGAATATGTGACAATCTTCAGTGTAAATGAACTGCTGCAGCAACAGAAAGCAATGTTTACTGCACTACTGGAACTACAACTTAGCAATTTCAAAGGCTTTGCTGAACTAATAATGGACTCCGCTAACACTAGACTGCCAGCAAATCTGAAGGAACACAGCACCTCGATGTAAACAGATATTTTTTAAAGTCTGTGACAGCGTGCTGGCTTTTATGGACAAAATGGAGTATCTGGAGATCCAATCCAGGCGAAATAACCTGCTATTTGATGGGATACAGGAGCCACAGGGAGAGACCTGGTCAGAGATGGAGGAGAAGGTAAAAAAGGTAAAATTATAGCTGCAACGTGAGGTGGAGAGGGCCCACCGCACAGGACAACCTGGAGGAGACCGACCGAGGCCAATTGTGGTAAAACTCCAGCCCACAGATGCTCGATTGGATTGAGATCTGGGACTCTGGAGGCCAAGTCAACACCTTGAACTAGTTGTTGTTCCTCAAACCGTTCCTGAACCATTCTTCCTGCTGAAAGAGGCCATCAGGGAATACCGTCTCCATGAAAGGGTGTCCACGGCCTGCAGCAATGCTTAGGTAGGTGCTACGTGTTAAAGTAATATCCACGTGACTGGCAGGACCCAAGGTTTCCCAGCAGAACATTGTCCAAAGCATCTCACTGCCTCCGCCGGCTCACCTTATTCCCATAATGCATCTTGGTGCCATGTGTTCCCCAGGTAAGCGACACACTCGGCCATCCACGTGATTTAAAAGAAAACGTGATATACAAGACCACACCAAGGGGGAGGAGGGCCAGGAGTTTGAGGCCCCTGCATTAGGAGAATGCACAGGGTTTACTCCCGTCTGTATTGGGGCCAGCCAGCATGTTAACGTTAGCCTTTCAGTTTATGACCACGTCCACACACACACCCAGTAACATACAGGCCATGCTTTAAAGTCCCAGAGATTAACGGTAAATAACAAGGTGAAATTCACATAGAGGATCACGTCTTACATATTGCAACCGTCAGAATGAGAGTGTTGTTCTTTGTTTCAGCCACTAGATGGAGGCAGAGCTTCACTTATGGACAGAGAAGCTGCAGCAACAGGCAGAGGAACATCAGATGAAACACCTGAGAAACTCTGATGTTACTTTAGAAGAAGCAGGAGAGAAACACGTTACTGCTGCAGGACGTCTTCAGGCTGGATCATATTTAACTTTTTGTCTTCTCGGGGTGACGGAGATCTGAGGGGGAGTCGGGAGAAAAGGTTTCTTGTTTCTGATGCTGAACATTTAAATAGTTTGTGTTTGTTTGTATGAAGATCAGCTTTCATGTTCGGTGCTTTTATATACAGGAATTATTTCCCAGCAGGCCTTTTTGTCTGACAGACAAGTTTTTTATTTCAGTCATCATCATGAAATGAGAACTCTTTTGTTCCTGCTGCTGTAGGCTGTTTAATAATTCAATGGGAGATGTGGAACTTTGATGTAGTATGCACTTATTTTGTTTCTTACTTGGTTACTATGGTTGTTTTTGTGTTATTTATGCTACGCCCTGCTGACGCTCAGGGATAATAAAAACTCCTTGAACCTTGAACAATAATTGTAAACGTATCACAGTGTAAACACAAACAGGAAACAGTGACTGAAAGGGCTGAAGCAAAAGCTTATTCATCATTAAATTATTATCATATCTTCATGTTAATTAAATCTGGCCCCCTCAAAGGAAAAGGAAATCAAAAAGCTAGATATACATAAAGAAACAAAGAAATGAATGATTCACATTTGTTACCATAAAACATATCTTTACAAACTATTTTCCTGAACACCAAAAGAGAATTTCACATTTATAATTTTACATTGGTCCATAAAATAGAAATCCATCTTCTTTAAATCTCTTTGTTTGCTTTGATCTCAGATCAGATTTACTCTCCTGTACTGAAAAACACAGAGCGCCTTCGAATCAGCCCTGATTATTATATCTGCATGATTTTATAAGTATTTATTTCATAACTCTGGAACTTAGAAACAGTGGGTTTATTAATAATATTATTATCAAGAGAAGCTGATTAAATTAGATGTGAGCTCCAGGACTGACACTGATCCAGTCTCAAGTCTGTACTTTTATTGTGAAGGTCGGGACCTTTAAACAGGCGTCTGGTTTGTTTTATTGTGAAAGCAGCGAGCGGAAGTCACGTGGTTAGTGTTGCCTGACTTGATGGTGTTTCTGAGAGGAAACTTGCTGCAGACAGACCTTTTTATCTTCAGTCTGTGAGACACACGGAGGTTTCTGAGTGTCTCTGCAGCTGCGGTCAGAACTCCGCCTGAAATCCTGCTGATTTAACCACAGCGGCTAACTGAGCTGCAGCCCGACGGCAGGTCCGAGCAGCTGGCCGGAGTGCCGCTGAGCAAAGCTGCTCCAAGCTGATGACCCGTGAGTACAGTTCATTCCGAGGCTGCGGTGTCGGTGTTGTTTCTGGATGTGAGTCAGACCCGGTAAAGCTCCGGTATCCCCACATTCCTCCCCCCGAGATCAGCTAACGGTCGCTAAGCTAGCGAGTTCCATTTTCGGACACGGTTTTAGCCAGCCTCCGGTTTCCTAACCTGGGAACTGAAACTTAAACCACAGATGGGCAGAGTTCCGCTGCTCATCAGTGATCTAGCGGATTCAGGGAAGCTACACATGATTATCTTCTTTAACTCGGCAGACATCTCACTGACTGGAATCCATTAAAATATGAAGATAATAAGGTAAATCACCCTGCTGTTGCTGCTGTTCAGAGGGTTTGTTGTTGCGAGTAACAGGTGACTTCATCCTAAAAGATGAAGGTTAGATTTAGAAACATGGCTGCTCTGTGTTTCAGATTCATGCAGGACTGAGGAGAAGACCCCCCAGGATCAGGGACTTTCTTTAGTTTCATAATATGATATGTGCAGCTTGTTTGTTTTTTAAAGGGATCCTTAAAACAGAATATTTTTAAATGGAGTTTGGCGCAGACTGGGATTATTAACTTGCACTTCCCCTCTTCGTTGTAGTTTGCCTCAGTTATAATCTGTTGTTGTGATGAAGAGGCTGTGAGGATGTGACGGCTAAGAGTCTGTGAAGTCAATGTTTGATTGTTACTTTAAGGATTATGAACCAAGAGGACACCTGACACCTGCTAACTCACCTGCTCAGGTGTTTGCTGACATCAGCTGACAGCCAGGCTCTTTATGTAACACAGGGTCAGATTAGATGACAGGATGAAAAGACGTCCTGGGCTTGTTTACTGTAAACCTGTGCTGCCTTCAGGTGCTTACATGTTCCCTTTTTATTTGTCTCTCTAACATCAATAACAGCAGATTCATTTTCATGTCTCCATGTTGGACAGTCTAGATCTCTGCAGCGACTCCCCTCCGGGCAGCAGAGGACACGTTTAAAACTCTTTTTATTAAGGTTACTCCGACACACAGGTGTCTTTTCCACCGGGGACACTTTCTGAAAACATTGTGTGTTGAAATGTTTATTTGCAAAATCAGAAAACACACAGTGCAGTTTAAATATTAATGAAACAGAAAGAAAGTAACTTCAGCTGAAAAACCTGTTCGGGCTGCTCAGGATGTTTCAGCATCAACGGTCACATCGCAGCGTCTGGGATGTCAGGCGAGTCAGATTCACTGAAACATCTAAACTTTCTGCTGCTGGATACAAAAGACCCCGCCCCTCCACCACAGCAGGCCCCGCCCCCATTAGTACCAGCGACACAGGGCACTCTGTTACAAACAGAAGAGCAGCTTCAGTAAACCTCTCAGGAGGCTTTAGTTTCGGGTTTCAGACTATCAAATTAATATCTGGGCTTATTGTCGTTGCATTTTCCTACAAACTCACCTGATGACTCTCTTTTAAACGGAGCACCTGAAGTCATCTGGTGAAAGTACCTGCTGAAGAAGAAAAACCCAGATCTTATATTTCAGCATTAAAGATTTTAATGTTAAATATCTTCTCCTCTTGTTCCTGTGAACTCGTAACCTGCATCCTCGTCTCTAATCTGAGCCGTGACGTCCAACACCTGCCAGCACAAAGAGACGCCGCTGATCCAAAACAACAAGCGTTTCCTCCGTCGACACCTGATGCTGAAAAACATCTTTCACATTTCTCTAATTTGATGTTCTGCCCGTTTTCTTTTCCAGGACTGTTTGAAAATGAAGGTTTATTATGAGTTATGATTCCCCCCGGTGAACAGAGTCCCCTGGGGGACAGAGTCCAGACCCTGGATGGAGTCTCTCTTCAGTCCGTCGGTTAGACAGAGACCTACATTTATAAATACCACGTCGACTATCATGCAAACGATTAAAATCCCTCGGTGCTTTCTGTTCAGGCTGAAGGAAACGCTTACAGGTCAGCTTCTGTCCTCCTGGTCCAAACTTGACCCCCTTTAGCACTCAGGTCTGAGAGACTCTGGCTTCAGGACTCAGGAGGATGAGCTTTGTGTGCGTGTGTGTGGGCGGGGGGGCCTCAGGGAGCCGGCCTCCTGTGGGGCCCACAGCTGCTATAAAACATGTGAAGCTGTGGCGTCTTTTAAAGTCTAAATGAATGATGTGACGGCGCCCAGCTGTCCTCTCTCTCTCTCTCTCTGCAGTGTGATGTGAGGCGATGCTCGCTCGGCCACCATGGCCAGTGTCACGCTGAGGTACTTCTGTTATGGCTGCCTCGTCACCTCGGCCACCTGGTCCGTCCTCCTCTTCCTCTACTTCTCTCTGGGGGCGGAGCCCGGACGCGGCAGGATGCCCCTGCAGCACCGCAGCCAGCCAATCACCAAGGGCCTGGCCGACCGGAGGGCGGGGCGCCGGCCTCTACCGGCCAATAAGGGAGGAGAGCTGTCGCCTGAGATGGGTGAGTGGCTGCGGTGTGTTCGGGTGCTGCTGGGAACATTAAAACTCTGTGGCACTGCAGCGATTAGTCCATGAATCAGTTTGTTGATGTGGCACCGTGAGTCCTGGTCTCTGGTCTCTGTGTGACACCGTGAGTCCTGGTCTCTGTGTGACACCGTGAGTCCTGGTCTCTGGTCTCTGTGTGACACCGTGAGTCCTGGTCTCTGGTCTCTGTGACATGTGTCTGTCTGCAGGGATGATCTTTAACGAAGCAGACCAGGAGCTGAGGGACAGCGGGTACCATCGACACGCCTTCAACGTCCTGATCTCCACCAGACTGGGATCCCACAGGGACCTGCCCGACACCAGAGACTCCCGGTAAGAACCAGTGGGGGGGGTTGTTATTTTAAGAGACACTGACTTTAACAGATTAATGTTGTCAAGTGAACGCAGCGCAGACTGAGCTGCCAGGTAACCTGTCTCCAGCAGCGTAAATGTGATGATGTGGAGACACTGACGTTTAGCTGAACGCAGCACAGAGACTCATCAGATGTTGGACCTGAGGAGACCGACGGCTGGAGTCCGGAAAGTGTTCCCGTCCCCGCATGAGGGAGGATTTCAGCTGCTCAACAGTTCGGGGTTTCATAATGTCCGTCCCTGAAGAAGACGTCGCTACACGTGTTGAAACCTTACATGGTTCAGCATTAATGGTGCAGGTTCCCCGTGTGCACTAACGCCCCCCAGGACCATCACAGATACTGGGTCTACGCTGATAACCCTCTCCTCTTCAGCCCGGAGGACGCAGGTCCATGATTTCTAAACAGAATTTAAATTTAGGACCTGGATCTGGTTCTGGGTCCGTCTGAAGCTCACGGCCGTCCAGTCCTGGTTTCAGCCTCGTCCAGATTTCTCCTGAATCTCTGAATCTGAATGATATGATGAACATTACGATTACCGTTTGTGGGCGCCGGTCCTTCAGAGAGAGGTGACCCCCCCCCCCCAACAATTTTACATTAGAAAGACTCTTTATACCCGATCATGTTGCCAGTTAACCCAAATAACTGATGTTCCTCCAGCTGTTGTCAGTCTTTTGTTGCTGCTGCCCAATTTCTTTTAAAACGTTTTTAAAATTTGATTCTGAAACGACAGCCTTTCTCAGTTTCAACATTTGAGAAGTGTCTTTGTGCTGTTGTCAATAAACATGTGGGTTCAGTGTTTCCACATCATCACATTTTGGTTTACTTCTCATTTCACACAGTTAGACGTCGTCGTCAGTTTGAGAAACAACTAAAACCCCTCGAGCCAATCATTTGGCTCCATCTAGTGACCTATATGACAGTTTGGCGTCTGATCTATTGTCTCCATGTGTCATAAGCCAAACTGATAATCTATCATAAATGATATTTATGATATAATTGATGAATGTGCGTCCCGTGCACGCCGGTCCTTTTGATAAGGCTCAGGAGGAAGAGCGGGTCGTCCAAAGACGGCGAACCCCAGATCGCTCCTGATGGTTGGCTGGTTATGAAACATTTCGTGCAGCAGGCTCACTGTCAGACCTTCATCTTCAGATCCTTTAGTTCTGCCTTCTGTCTCTCTGGACCTCAGTGAGGTGACCTGAGTTAAACGATTCTGCAGAGAGTTTGTTAATATTTGAGCTCTCAAACAAATGCACATTGCCAAGGCGACCAGTCCTACTCTGCTGAGACATGACAGAGTCCACAGTCTGCTGGCCGAGAGCGAGTTAGCCTCAATAATGTGTGACAACAAGCCTGTCAATTTTTAAATATGTGTTGACTCAAAATACTTTTATAAGCCAAAGTTTATGTATCGGTAAGATTACCTTAAGTAACTTCTACAATGACCAGTAGCAAACATACATAATCTAACGAACAGCATGCAAACGCCGCATTTAAAACACAACGGAGTAAAAAAAACTAGCAAGAGATATTTGAAATAGATTTTACAACATGAGAGTCAGGAAGCACAGGGTTAGCTTTCAGGCTAAGCCCCTTCAGGCTTCCATCAACTCTTTGTAAACAACACAACCCGTTTTACTGATGATCAACCCGTTTACTGATGATCAACCCGTTTTACTGATGGTCAACCCGTTTACTGATGGTAAACCGTTCTCTGCAGGTGTCGGGATAAGGTGTATCCTCTGACTTTACCTTCTGCCAGCGTGGTAATCTGTTTCTTCAACGAGGCGTTCTCCGCCCTGCTGAGAACCGTCCACAGCGTGCTGGACCGTACGCCGGCCCACCTGCTGCACGAGATCATCCTGGTAGATGACCACAGTGAGCTCGGTAATGCCCAGGATACACAGATGTTTGATTGATAACATGTTTTCCTTGTTCTGTTAGTGGTCTGACCACAAGAACTGTGTTTGAATTGATTATTGAGACTCAGTGTTGGTGTGTGTTGATTCAGAGGAGCTGAAGGACGACTTGGACCGGTACGTTAAAGGGGAGCTGCAGGGGAAAGTCAAACTGGTGAGGAACCAGAGGAGGGAAGGACTCATCAGAGGACGCATGATAGGAGCCTCACATGCTACTGGTTCGTCCTACATCCTTATACCCTACCTCCTTAATCCTTATAACCTTGTTCCCTTAATCTGCACATTCTTGTTCTTTTCTGCCTTAAAACAACTACAAGGAGTTTGTAAGTGGTTATGAAACAGTTCCAGTGTAACGCTGATACCTCTGTATGACTTGTATTAGCAAACGAGACCAGCAGCATGAAGATTGGCTGTAGATGATCAGGAAAGAGAAAGGGGACAGTGACAGAGCACGTGTGGAAACCTTGGTCACTCGTTCAACAGATGGAGACGGTTGCTGGATTTGAAAGGATGTAAAAGTGACCCTGAAGTGGCCCTCTTCTAAGACAACTGGCTGATAATTGACAGTTAATGTTGGCCTTGCTGCCGAGCTGTATTGTTGGCTTGTTGTTATAAAGACATGACATTAGCAGGGAGTGTTGCTAACTTGAGCTTTCTCAGCAAAATGACTGTTACTGAGTAACCAAATCTATTCATCCAGTTGACTATTAACAACTATTAATCGTCCCAAGCCACAAACTGATGCATTACCTCATCGCTTTGTTCACAGGGGGCGCCAGAACCAACACAAATGGGAATTGTTGAAAAAAACCTTTTTGAAATAAAAAAAATTAAAATTCCTTGTGGATGATTTAACCTGTACATCCTTGTTCCCTACTTCCTTAAGGCTTGTGTCCATATAGCCTATTGTCTGAGCCCCAGCGTCTTTCTTCAGTTGTCAGAGCGTACGCCGCAGCACAGAGCGTACGCCGCAGCACAGAGCGTACGCCGCAGCACAGAGCGTACGCAGCAGCACGCCGCAGCACAGAGCGTACGCCGCAGCACAGAGCGTACGCAGCAGCACAGAGCGTACGCCGCAGCACGCCGCAGCACAGAGCGTACGCCGCAGCACAGAGCGTACGCAGCAGCACGCCGCAGCACAGAGCGTACGCCGCAGCACAGAGCGAGCGTACAGAAAACTGGCTGCACCCAGCAGGACTTTTCAGAGCGGTCCGTGCATTTTTGTGCTTCAAATCTCTGGACGTTTCAGAAACACGCTGGTGTCATCACTGTCGCGCCTTTACAGGCAATCAACCAATCGTATATTACATGCAGCAGTACTCGTTACCCTAGTAACCAAGACAATGGGGGAGAAGCTTGTTCTTGTCTGTCTGTCTGTCTGAGCTTTATGATATAATATTTTGTCTTAGCGGAGACAAAAAGCCCATTTGCAGATCTGCCTGGAAAAATGCTATATGGACACAAGCCCTGAACCTGTGCTACCTTCTTTCCTACATCCTTGTTCCCTCTATCCTAAATGTGTGCGTCCTTGGTCCCTACATCTTTATTTCCCACGTCCTGTTCACGCATCCTTGTTCCCTATATCCTAATTGTTGCATAATTTTTTCTACTTTAATCCATATGTACTTTTATGTATACCCGACATTCTTATTTCCTACAATCTATACTTCCTTATTCCAAGTAGGACAGTCCCAGCCTACCTCTCCCCTTTATCCCTGAACCCTAAATCCTACACCCTTACTGCCTTTGAGACCGTCTGACTCTTCTAATCTGTGCGTTGATCTCTGACTTTATTTGTGGAGGTTGCTCCGGCGCGGCCTCTGGATCCTGAAGGTCATTTACAAGCTTTGCTCTACTCGAGCTCCTGCTAGGGGAGTCCAGGTTGACTTGATCCCTGTCCCGTCTCTGTGCGCACAGGTGAGGTGCTGGTCTTCCTGGACAGTCACTGCGAGGTGAACCAGGCGTGGCTGCAGCCTCTGCTGGCTCCCATCCAGAGGGACCGCCGCACCGTCGTCTGCCCCGTCATCGACATCATCTCCGCCGACACTCTGTCCTACTCGCCCTCGCCCATCGTCAGGGGCGGCTTCAACTGGGGGCTGCACTTCAAGTGGGATCCAGTCCCCCCCTCCGAACTCAACGGGCCCGAGGGAACCACCGGACCAATCAGGTAATCAACTGACCGACCGACCAGGTGACCAGCTGACTGACCGACCAGGTGACCGACCGGCCAGGTAACCAGGTGACCAGGTGACCAACCAGCTGACCGATAGACCAGGTGACCAGCTGACCGATAGACCAGCTAACTGGCGAGGTAACCAGCTGACCGACCGGCTAGGTGACCGACCGGCCGGGTGACCGACCGGCCAGGTAACCAGGTGACCAGGTGACCAACCAGCTGACTGACAGGCCAGGTAACCAGGTGACCAGGTGACCAACCAGCTGACTGACAGGCCAGGTAACCAGGTGACCAGCTGACCGATAGACCAGCTAACTGGCGAGGTAACCAGCTGACCGACCGACCAGGTGACCGACCGGCCAGGTAACCAGGTGACCAGGTGACCAACCAGCTGACCGACAGGCCAGGTAACCAGGTGACCAGGTGACCAACCAGCTGACCGACAGGCCAGGTGACCAGCTGACCGATAGACCAGCTAACTGGCGAGGTAACCAGCTGACCGACCGGCCGGGTGACCGACCGGCCAGGTAACCAGGTGACCAGGTGACCAACCAGCTGACTGACAGGCCAGGTAACCAGGTGACCAGGTGACCAACCAGCTGACTGACAGGCCAGGTAACCAGGTGACCAGGTGACCAGCTGACCGATAGACCAGCTAACTGGCGAGGTAACCAGCTGACCGACCGGCCGGGTGACCGACCGGCCAGGTAACCAGGTGACCAGGTGACCAACCAGCTGACTGACAGGCCAGGTAACCAGGTGACCAGGTGACCAACCAGCTGACTGACAGGCCAGGTAACCAGGTGACCAGCTGACCGATAGACCAGCTAACTGGCGAGGTAACCAGCTGACCGACCGGCCAGGTGACCAGGTGACCAACCAGCTGACCGACCGACCAGCTGACTGACCAGGTAAACAGCTGACCGACTGACGAAGTAACCGGCTGACTGACCAGGTAACCAGACCTGATCTCCCCTCAGGTCCCCCACCATGGCAGGCGGTCTCTTCGCTATGAACAGGAAGTATTTTAATGAGCTGGGCCAATACGACGCCGGCATGGACATATGGGGCGGGGAAAACCTGGAGATCTCCTTCAGGGTGAGCGAGTTTGTGTTTTACTGCCTGTCAGTGAAGGCGTCCTTCAGTCTGAGCCAATAGAAACAGTTCCAGGTGCTGGACCTGGTCTCGGACCTGGTCCCGCTCTCTCATGCCCCCTGTGTGTCGATGTCTCTGGCTCAGATCTGGATGTGTGGCGGTCAGCTGTTCATCATCCCCTGCTCCAGGGTCGGACACATCTTCAGGAAGAGGCGGCCCTACGGCTCGCCGGGGGGGCAGGACACCATGGCCCACAATTCCTTGCGGCTAGCTCACGTATGGATGGACGAGTACAAGGTACGCACACGCACGCACACAGAGCGCTGATCCGACGGCGTCCTCTGACCTCGCTTCCTGTGTTTCTGTGGTCCAATCAGGAGCAGTATCTGTCTCTGCGTCCGGAGCTTCGTGAACGCAGCTACGGCGACATCAGCGAGCGCGTGGCGTTGAGGAAGCGGCTGCAGTGTCAGTCGTTTCGCTGGTACCTGGACACGGTGTACCCGGAGATGCAGACCGCCGCCAACGGCCACAAGCAGCAGCAGCAGCCGCTGTTCGTCAACAAGGGCCTGAGGCGGCCCAAAGTCCTGCAGAGAGGACGGGTACCTGAACGCAGCACCACAGTCTCGTGTCATATGTTCGTTCTTCCTGTCCCCTGATTCAGACCGTCTCACCTCGCTGAACTGGAGCTGCAGCCACCGACGGTATAACAGAAGTGGGCGTGGCCGCCGTGATGTCACCCGCTGGTTTGTGGACCCGCAGACAAACGTGACGGAAGTTGAACTTCCGCATACGGTTCGTCCCACAAGCCACCGCGCACAAAACGTGATGGCGCTTATCTCTCCGGTAAATAAGTGTGATAAGTTTATTTATAATAATAAAGCAATATTTCAGTTCATACTGTTGTTGTCGGATTTTAAGTTTCACAAACCGAGAAAATCTTCCTGAGAAGTTAAAGACAGGACGGCGTTACGAACTTGACCGTATCGTCAGCCGGACTCGGTTAACTCTTCCCCACAGCGCCGAGGTATATTCCTCTGTCGCTACCGGTTAACGCTACAGCGGCGCACGTCGGCAGCTACATATTGACACC